ATATCATAAAGCCTGCCATTTGAAATATATATATATATATTATTTGCTGTTGTCTCTTAATTGGCTAAACGTGTACTTCTCAATAAATGGCACCCTCAGTATATGCCATAGGTACTTCCCTTCTATGTGTGAATGAGTTTGAAAAACGGCAAAAATAGCTCAATTGTTCTATTAGCCTGTCAGGTGTGATCAATCATATTCCGCTTCCAACCCCGTATACATTGGTGTAATAGGATGTCATTCATCTATCCTAGTTTGCGGTAAGTTGCGACGGTCGCCTTATCGTAATCGATATTTTTTACTGGTACATGATTCTACTATAACATTAATGGCTTCCTTGGGACATTGTGAGTATAACATTTTTATTGCGCCAATGTCTACAATTCTCTTCTCTAGTCATCTCTCACCTGTACTGATCCAAGCCTGTGACTTTAATTCGATTCCTGTTCTTTCATTCCTATGAAAAGGTAAATATCGTGATTAGTAGTTTAAGCTAATTGATACAAACCAAACCCAATTGGTAACTATTTCATTGAAATGAGTATGACAAGTCCTCTATTAGTCCAGAAGGCTTCTTCGGAGGTAAGAAATTAAGTGTACAAGCATTTACTTCAATTCGTTGTTTCTATTTTGTAGATCATATCATTCCTTACATCCAATGCCCATCCCGATATGCTGCGTCAGGTAACTTCATCAATTAAACTTTTATTCATATCTTATGAACATATTAAGTATGCACAGCTTTCTACTTTCAGACACCAATTCTACCCCCAACTGTGGTAGATCAAATACGGCTTTGGGAGCTAGAGCGCGAACGATTCCTCGCACAGGACGGTTGTCTCTACGAACAATTCACCAAAAACACTGATTTCGAAATGGTTCGCGATTATGCCAAGGTAAGAGAATTAATCCACAGAATAACACTTTATTTATGTGCAATACACGCAGTACGCTCTTTGCTCCTTTAGAGTCGAAATTATCTCCTTTGGGAGTGTCCAGAGCGTCGGCTTATGGTCGTATCGAAAGCCGGTCATGAAGATGTTCGTGCATTTTGGAAACAGAAACGCTCACCTTAAAGTCCCCTCACCCCCCCCCCCCCCCCCCCCCATCTATTTCCTTTTTATAACGAAACGCAATATGTACACATTTATAACCTCTGTTTCTTTCTATTCCGCCTTGCAAAGCGTATAACAGTGTTATTGTACAAACCGGGTACTTTCTTCAATGGGGTATTTTTGTCATTCAAGTGCACTTCGTTTGAAACGAGACAATGGGTTCGCCAAAATCGTCGCCAATTCAAATGTTTAGGAGGAGGGTTTAGAGAAAAGACATGGCAGACAGCGGCCATATCACAGAGATCAATGTTCGATATAAGATCATCATAAACAGCTCCTTCATTTGAAAGTTTTTCATCGATTGCAGCAGCTACGGCTGCATGGAGATCATGAACACTGCCATCATTGGAAACAGTAATGGGTATTCTTTCGTCTCCCCGTTGAATAAACAGCCTTATTGCCTAATATTTTAATTAATCATATGTTTCTCTTACTTGTCCGTGGTGGTGAGCTATTGCATTATCGATTCGTTTTTCTAGTGAGTCAGGATTCGAACAACCGATGTCTTTCACGAATTCATCTCCATCAATTAAAGAAAATAAATCCTTGGTAACCTTCTCTTGAAAAGCCCGGAAAACGTCATTAAATTTTCGGACTTCGTCTACAAGGCTTTCATCCATCGATCTGTGAAATACTGAGTTAGCAATAAACAAATGTTCTTATTCAAATTATCAAAACTATGGAGGGCATAAGTTTGTCAATATTTATTCAGATATAATAAAATATGTGTACATCAAGGATAGTTGGGGTTAGATTTCATCGCCTTCCAAGAATATTAAGGAATTTCCCGCGAGCCATCTCTTTAGCTAAAGAGAGATAAAATGGAAAATGCCGCTTACATTCCTCGAGACCAACTTGGTATGCTAAGTTTTGCAAATGTTTAATCTTATCCATGAGTTGTTGAGTGGACAAGCTCCCAAAATCTATTGATTTAGACGTTAGAGGAAAAATTCTTACCATGAATCAACTCAAGATCCTCTTTATCTAAATCTGTGCGATATTTTGAAGGTGTATGAATATTGAGATCCGGTTGCCTGGTTGAAATAAACTCAGAAACACCTAAGCGTATGAAACAAATAATAAATTACTTTGATCAGGCCATAACTCTGGAGACGCTCGGCCAAGGTCCTCGTTGGTTTGTAATCCTTGTTCATCCATCTTTATATGATGTCAACAGAAACAATCGGATACTGTCGCGTTTAAATAAGTCCCGCTCAGCAAACTTATTCAAACACGAAACACAAACCTTTCATGAGCTTATCATTTGAACTAAAAGAAATTAAAATTCCATATTTAAAAGAGATTTTGAACTTTATTAAAGCTTTGAAAATTCAAGGTGATGTAAGTTGCAATGAACTCCATATTTAATACTTAAAAGACGTAATTTTATAATGTGAGTTAAGAATATATATTTTTAGTTCAATATGTTTTTACTTATATTAGTTGATTTTATTGAGCTTGCTTGTTTGGGTTTCGAAGACTTATAAGATAATAGGTTATGTCATTATGACTGAAATAATTTTAAAATCTCGGCCATTAAAAAGGGAATTCCTAATGGTGTGATATTTGTTACCATCTTATATTCGTTTTTACTTGTGATGTCACTTGGTTCTTTGTAATAGATCTCATGAACTCTTATGTTAGTAATCCTAAATTTACTATTCATCAGGTATTTATTTGTTTCAAATACCAAGCATTTTGATAGTTTACATTAGCCCTTTAGCCGACTCTGGGCTTCATAGAGGGGAGGAACATCATGATGAGAAAAATTCGAGAGGATATTAAGAATAGTGATTCACAGATGTAAAGAGACAGATGGACACAAATACAAAGAAAAGATAAGATAAAGCTGTCTAATTTGACATACAATGGGGTCATGGTAGCTTGAAGCCAGAAGTCAACTGCCAGTTAATAGATTTTTTGCCGTATGAATTTACATTGCCCTGGGAGCACCACGTGGAGGTAAGTCTATCGCACACCCCTTATTCATAAAGTATAAATTATGATGAATTGATGAAGATTATGGCCTGCATAATTCAGCCTGTTCTTCAAAATTTCTTCTTAAAATTAGGCCCATTAATCCCCCTTTTCATGTCTAATTACATTCAATATTTTTGATGTCCTAACATGCCTCAATTGTCAGAATAACTAGCCTTCTTATTCGCTTTAACTTTTTATTTCTTCATCACTAAACCCACCTCATCCGAATTAAATCCTGTCTCTGCCTTGTCGAAGTTAGTTTCTGGTAAGGTGGATTCTGTACAAAAATATTGCAATATTAAAATATTATTACAAAATATTAATAATAATAATAACAATCACGACACCAAGTAAGCCGTTGGTTATTTCAAACTATCATGACTAGATCTATCAAAAAATCTGATTCTCGATTATTGTTTGGAATTCGAACAAATACACTCAAGTACGAGGCTGAAAACTGTAAGCAATTATATGAATTAATATTTTTGCATTATAGCTAGTGTAAATGCAACAAAACTAAAACGGCATTTATTTACTCTCTGACTGCTTTAGGTATTGTAAAATACCGGGATGGTTTAAAGTAAGGTTTTACCAGTAACTTCAGCACTGACCTTTTTGAAGAAACGTTATAAAATTGACATCTCAATATATTTATATTCAAACAACACAGAAGCCACTTTCATTTCAATGTTAAGTTTATCTCTCCACCCTTTCCTCAAATTCTCCATCTTATTTATAACTCTACATCCGTAACTACAGTAAAATATTCTGGCCTCTTAAATTGATATGCATATGTTCATTTATTCATCAGGTTTGCTACTACATTTAAATCAGGTAAGATGCTTATTCCACCTTGATTAGTTTCACAGAATAAAGTTTTATTAGAATAGAATGCATTATGAGCAAATAATATTTGGCCTAGGAATTATTGAAACAAATTTTCTGCGTCACTAAGATTTGTATTTGCAATTAATTGTACCCCCCCCCCTACTTTTATTTTTTTACTCTTCTATTTCTTAACGTTACTATGTAGATGCATATCTTGTTATAATGCCCCGTTTACTTTGTTAACATTATTCAAACCTATGAAAAATATCCTGAACTTTCTGAACAATTATAATTGCACGTGTAAATTTCTTAATAATATAACGGTAGAGCCTTATAACTCGGTTTGGCAACATTCATCAGAAGGTACATTTTTATGTTCCATTCTGCGTCTGTCGTTCTCTATGTCAGATTTATCATTCTCGCATACATTCATCCCTAGTATTGCACTGTAGAATCCATCGCAATTTATATAAGGAGGTAAGCATTCTTCGATTTCTTTTAAATCTGGAAGATCTTTAAGGAAGCATCTATCTTCAAAGTTTCCGGACATTGAATCTAGGCCCAAAAGCACTGATAGAGATTCCACCAGCTTTTTGCGACTAATCGGCTCACCTGAAATTCAAAGGACATCTAGATTTGGGTGATAATTAACAGATAAATATAATTACTAATTTCAACTTGAAATAATAATTGTTACCTCTATGTATTTAGATAGTAACATAGAATATGTTATATATTCTCTATTGTTTTCAGTGTTATTTTTAAAATTTTTGGGCATAAACTCATTAAAATTATCAGAAAGTGGCAACAATTACCAGAAGTCTGTAGCAATTCTAAGAAGCTTTTTCGATTGATAGACTGGGCAGGTATTTCGTTTTCCGGATGTGTCGATTCTTCGATCTCCAATGACTCCAATATGGTTTTAAATGTCTCTTCTAACTCTTCCACTGATGTACTGTCGTATGGTAGTCTATAGTTCACATAAACTGAAAATTAAGAGTGGTCATAAAATACCAATAATTCTGCTTGACATATTTTATCAATGCGAAATAATATAAGTACTGCTATTTGTATTCTTATTTCTATTAATTTCATGAGCGAAGCTTACGCTTTATAAATGTGTCCAGATCAATCTCCTCGATAAGTTCCCTAGTGGTGCTGTATTGTGAATATTTCACTTCATTGATCATATTTTCAATCTAAAAATGGAATTAACATGAAATTTCATTTACATCGAACTCTGAAAGGAAGAGGCCCATCGCCCTTGTTAGGTAGGGTATCTCAGTGATAGGAATTGTGTAAGAAGTTTTACGAGTATCCATACTATCCACTCCCTGGACTCGAGTCAACGACAAATAGAAGAAGTCTTTCAAATCGTTTAGCTGGTCTTCAGTTAGCATTTCGTAGAAGGGCTGCATTGGGTCACAATAAACGTGTGTTTGGGCAACGAGAACGCTGAAACGAGAGGTCTGGAGTTATTATTGATATTCGTTATCACAACTTAAGTTATTGAACGATAAAAAAGCATAACCACAAAATTTCCCTGATTTGGAGACAAGTAGATTGCTCAAAAAATTACAAAAATAATGTATATAAAGCAGTGAAGTTGACATAATAACTTCAGCATGCATGTTTTAGGCCGATATTTTAAATCTTTCGTCGTGATGAATGCTATGAAGAACACTTATTTCTTATTTTATATATGGTTATCTATGAATTTACCAGTTTCCAGCCTAAGATACTGAAGTTCCAAATCATCTTATTTGCCCTTATGCATCGTTACTTTGTATGCATCGTTGCAGGGTTCATTAATACCGTTATTTTTAGTTTTAATCCTTCACGAAAGCTCCATAAAATAATGACTTATTTGTACCCATCAAAAATAATATTGATCGGAAAAACAGGCTAGAGTTGAGCGATTAATACTATCAAGAATGATTATAAGACTTTTCGCAATTGAATATTCCCTTTGGCCAATAAGAAATCGCGTTTATGCAGCCTAATGCATATCAGCTTTGTTTAAGGACTAAGTCTGTGAGTAGTTGCTAACGCATACAATAAACGCTTTCCATGTCATACGCTCTGTTTACTAATTTCGAGATCAATCTAGCCTGAACAATATTGGCAGAGAAGACAAGTGAGCTTTAGTTAAGGCTTATTCGTGTAGTGTTGGCTACATGTGCATAGAGAATCTTTTTGAATGGGATCCATGTTTCAAGAATAAAAGATACACCACAGAAGGAAATAAGATAACATGAATATCAGTCTCTTTAAATAGCTTCGTCAATTTAATTATTTCATTTCCTGACTTCTAGAGCTAATTTCCCAGACCAATTTCAATAAAGAAACAATTAGTAATAATAAGGCACAACGATCTTAGTCCACTTGTTTCTATGGGAAATGTTAACCAACATTAGCGTACAAGGTGTTGAACATTAATAAGCAATCAATTAAGTGAGCTAACTTGGAATTACCCAGGATTAGCTCTCCACATATGCATTGAGTTATCTGGACCTCCAGCTGTGAAGATAAATCGACGATCTCTCGAAACAGCCATAGCTGAGGCGTAGCCAGATCCATGTCTACAACAAGGATGAGCAATGATACTGGTCGTCTTGTAAGGATCTCCGTCCAGTGGAACTAGAACCATCCACAGCTGCTCGTTGGTTAGAAAAACTAAGCAATTCTTCCTTAGGGATTTCCCAAATATTGTTGGTGTTGATGGAGGCGTAGGAAAATCATCTTTTTCCGGTAGAGTTGAAATACTTGTAGGAAAAATATTCATTATTTTTTTAATGACCATAATGCAAGAAATTGTGGCTTAGTGGGATTATCGATGCTCAAATAAGTTTGTTATTACTATTTTGTCAATGGAGTGCAGCAAATGTGATTTTATTCGATGGGTCCTATTGGTCAATTTTATGAAATGTTGAAGATCAAGTAGTAGTCACGTTCTTAGATTAAACTTGAGGGTGTTAACTTTCATTCTCCTAACCAACTCTTATCTTTAAGTAAAACCTTGTTCGATCATTTTCATAAAGCATTTAAGCTCCCATCCGAATTCTAACAATATTTTATCATACTTGTGGAAGAATGCATGAAGCCGTAAAAATAGAACAAATAGTAGAAGGGTGAAACTCGACTGTTAAAACTTTTCCGATTCAATAGAGAGAGAAAATCGTAAGCTTCATCGCTCATGTACTGGACTATCGATTATTACATTTCCACAATCACATAAACGTCTCAATTATTGACTAACCAGAGAGCCAATCATGAAGCACATATTCAGGCCTATATATGTACATTAATTTTGCGAGACATAAGTCATTTATTTTATGTCTCTTTGAGTTTTGCTAGAAGAAGCCTAAACCAATAGCAACTTAGAAGTTACACAGATATTAAAAATTAATGCGCGGACCAGAAACTATAAAGATGTGTGATGGCTCTACCAAGTATTTTAAAGTTGATGAAATGGGGTGAGCGATTTCTCCTCCATTGGAAGAATTTGAACTGATGAGGATAAGTAATTGTTAGAAAAGGTATATCTTCGCTCTTTCATCTGTCTTTCTTCAATCCCCGTTAAATGCTATATCGAAAGCTATGTAACTTGAGTCTTAAATATGAACATTAATAAAAATCGATAACATGATTATTGATCAAATGGGTTGACTAACCAGACTAAAGGAGCCCCTCTGACAGGCGCAGCAATGGTCTTCCTAATACCAAAAGAGTCAACATCGAGCAATCGAAATTTTGAGTCTGAGTTTGCATAGCAGATAAAATTTTCGGGATATAGGTCACCCATTGCCGTAAAACACTGAGGCTTGGCTATAGTTTCCACCTGAATCCTTAGCTTAAGAGGTAGACCATCAGACGTAGCATTCCCAATATCATACTCCACCTACAAAGTTCAACAGCAATATCAAAAATGTAGGTGTGAGGATAAAGTGAAATTATTCTGTTTTAGTAAACGATAAAAAACTACCTACTTACCAGCATCCTATCTTCGCCCAAGGTAAGGAGTCTTGGTTTGTCAATGCTTCCAAAGTTGTGAAACAGTATATCCACTATTCTATCTCCATGTGCGCGATGACGTCCAGAGAAGACCCATTTAGATTCGTTTTTATTTTTAACATCACCTTGCCTCAACAGTGTGGTTGTAAGATCCGTGTCCTTGGTGATAAATTACTACATATCTACATTATATGTATACAACTACGATCGCAAATACTTCTTACGAAACTCACAAAGTACGCGCAGTAATTTCCATCAGGACTGAAAACAATCTTGCTAATTGGACCTTTAGCATAGTCGAAGGGATGTTGGTCAATGTCGTCTAAAGTTAGACCATCGACGAACAATACTCGACCCGAGGTGCAGCCGACAGCTATCAGAAGAAGTTATTTCAAGAATCAAGATAACCTCAAAAGAGTACATTTTTATTAGAATAGGAACAAATGAGTCAATTTTAGCTTCCAAAGGCTGACTCGTAAGTCATAAATCATGGTATCATAATCGTAGATTAAATATGTATTAGAAGATATTCTGGAATAAGTAATCATGTTTGATTACTTCGAAGAAAATAAAGTACTATATTGGATATGAATCCCTTTTTCAATATCACAATAAAGTTATTTACTAATAACAATACTAAATCATCAATTAAAATCATTCGGCTCATGATTAGTTCCTATCTATCCCTTTTACATGAAATTCAGCTCTTGCATTAAAGGTGATAAATTAGATAAGATATTCCATTTCAGTCCATTGTACTCTATATTTAGTTTTGATATATAATGAAAGATGACGTCAGTGAACACTTTTAAGAGGGCATGTTATAATATGTTTTCATATAGTTACCCAAGAAAACACCCAGGGGATCGAAAGCACATGCGTTCAACTGCTGATCCTCTATCAGTCGAGTGCGAACAGGAACACTAAAAGTAGCCAAATCGGTAATATTTGATGATTTAGGCTAAGGTACTTACAGCCACTTGTAATTCCAAGTCTTTATCATACCACAGTGGCCAACCATAGTAACTAAATCTCTAAAATTTAATAAAGAAGTGAATTAAAAGAACCCCCAAAAAATACTAATCTGAAATAACCTATATTCAACAAAAAATTACCTTAACGGGTGAGTGGCAAGACAATTTACTGTAGAAGACTGATCCCTTTCGAGAAGCTAGAAAATACGCCACAGGTAGCTGTTAAACATAGTGCGCAAAAATGAAGTCTCTGAATAAGGAGGGTGAAACCAACTTTGACGTTTTTTCCTTCAGCTTGCAGACTGACCACAATGGCATTTGAGGTGCTAATAATAAAGTCTTCTACGGAGATAGGCATTTTTGGATCAAAGCCGTCAGGTGCCTTTTCATTTATGCATTCATCATTTACACCTCTGTTTGAACAAATATAATATGTTAAAATACTAAATTGGCCTATCAATAATTTTTTGACATCAAACATCTAAAAGTGACATTTTCGTACTCTGATAATTTACTAAGCAAGAGAAACCTAAAGGTGTTATCATTGTGTCTTTATTTATTTTAGAAGAAACATAACACGTTGAAAAAATGACGTAATTTTGTTTAATGCACCACTTCCACAGAGCAAATACACAAAGAGGAATAAATGAAATGCTACTATATCCTTGAATTTAATTTTCTGTCTTTAAAACATCCATTCACAGTGCTCATATAAACCACGAAATAACTTAATGTCATCCGCAGTAAGTTGATAACTTTCAATAAAAGTGGGCAATAAACTAATCACATACAATTTAATGCGTCCAGTTTCAGAAAAATTTATGGATAATATTGGTCCATATTTTAGATCGTGATACCAGTGCAGAAGTTTGAAGTTCGAATCAAAGAAACGGACATTTCCTTCTTCATCTCCTGTTACGATAGCTACCCCCGCAGGAGCGCTAAGATAGGAAATTTGAAAATGAAGCAGTTGTATTTAATAATTTAATATTTCATACTCACCACGTTGTTATCGTCAGATTAGTGATTCCAGAATGATGAAGTGGAATTAATTTCGTTGCACTTCTGAAATAAGGGTATTGTTGCGAACCTGTGTTGAAAGTAAAAGCAGTATAATCAATAAAAGTAATTTTAGTTAATGCACTCATTATTATGGGTATTTAGATGGAATATAACGTGAGTGTGTTGATCGCTTAGAAATACTAAGCGAGAAAAATGGGATTATTTAGTAATATCACGGTTTTGTTTAAATGGTCTATTTACACAATAGCGTAACCGGACAAGAAGTTACCAAACTGTACGAGCTAATGAATCGGAAGCTGAAACCAAACCTGGAATCTAATTTGCGTGCATTGAATTACCAAAAAATGTGACATCGAGGAAGAAAGAGTAGAAGTGTGTGTACATCAGCAGAAAAAATGATGGTTTGTATTTCACTTTGGCGAGCATATGAATGAAAATAAAACAAACGTTTCGTTGAGCAAATGCCTAATTTAAACTTGCTTTAGTTATGGCTCATATACTTTAAACTACCCATTAATAACTTTCGCAGGCTACATTATTTCGATCAGAATAAAAGTAAATGAGTCAAAAGAGTTATAGGAAGGTATAAGCATTGTAACAAGGGACAATAAGTCCGATAGCAAAATAACCAGAGAAATTTATTTCCCCTCAAATAAAAATGTCAAATTCAAAAACTGACGGAACTCACCCTTATCAGTATATCGACATTTTTCCCAAACAACTGCAAATCCTTTCGAAGTTACCGTTATTGCCATATCTGTATTTGGAACATATACCGACATTACAAACTTTCCATAGTTTGTCTGAAAAATCTTCGGCTCAAGTGCTGGTGTGTGCGAAGTCACTTTTCCCTCCAAGGTCTGCAAAATAAAAATAGAAATATTCATCTTTATCTAACAAATTCAACATTGTTTAGCCAGTTCTTAAATAGTACTTGCGATTACCCAGTTATAAAAGACCACATGGGATTCGCTATTGGACATAAGTTGGAAATAGTCATCTTCTTTGAAGGCGATATGGGTTTGAATCCCGGTTTCTTCATTTTTTATTTGAACGGAGCACAAAGATTGAGGGCGCACAAGAGACTGATCGCATGCATCATCACTACACGTTTCATGGGGTCCTAATGTCCAATTCCAAATTGATAAGGTTTGTTGACCTGAGTCATTCTATATATCGAAAGTAAATATAGAAGTAGAGACAAATAGCCAGAAGGTTCATAGAAATATTAAGTTATTCTGAAAACTACTAATAAAGAAGAGAATTCTCTGTGGCAAAAATAAGCAGAAAAATGGTTTTGAATTCATTTTAAATGAAAGGGTTTTGTCGGGTACCGAAATTCGGCTTCTTTCAAACAACCGCAAAAAATGTGTAAAGAAAAGAAAATTCCAAGTCAGCATGCTTTCCTGAAATATATTTTGACTGCTGGAAGAATGTATGCTTCAAGATTAATAGAACTCACAACTGCTGGAGCAGAGAGAGAGGCAAGATAACGCGCATCAGGAGTGAGTCTGAGAGCAATCACGCCTTCTGGATGTATCCCAAAGAGGCATCTTACTACCTTTCTTGTTTGAGCATCCCATACCATCACTGCATTATCAGGACCTGCATCTCCTGTAACCAACCATCTGCGATTGCGACTAGCGCTTGTTGAAGTAATGGTATTTATCTGCATATGCAAAAAACACGTTAATTTTATGTTGGATTAAATTCTCCAGGCATTAATAGTATTAAAATTGAATTAAATATCTTAATTGTGTAAATCGTCATCGTATCACCCAAATATTAAGTGGATCAATTACTTAACAGGACTATAAATTGTTCAAAACCTACATGTCCGCGCAAAATATACTGTTCATTCTTCTTGACATCGTAAATTATTCCAAGATGACCCGACACATAAAATATTCGAGTATTAGTTTCATCACTCAAGTTGATAATTGGAACGCTGTGATTGAAGCTAAAAACTCGGACTGGCATGAGCGCCTCAGGGGCACTCTGAATTCTTTTAGACATTGTCTTTTCTTCTTGTTCTCTTCCCTGCTCATTTGCAGTTTCAACTGCCACGTGGTCATCAAATTCCCAGGGAGGATAGGACGCCTGAAGTTCTGCCGTAAAGCCTAGTAGTTGCCCCTTCTCTTTAAAAAATAATAATTTAAGAATAGTAAAACTAAATAATATGTTTTTAAACAGTTGTATAAGGATAAAATTCATTTATAATTACAGATTTTTTATCGATATATTTCATTTTT